TTTAAAGATGACCGGTAAGGGGATCTTAACCCTTGACTTACAAAAAATAAATAAATAAAGCCAGTATGCTGAGAAGGGAGGGCATTCACGTATACGATAAGAACCACTAGAGACTCTTACCCACGTATGCGTGTAACACAAACTTCTGCCAAAGACTTTTCTTTTTCTTTTTCTTTTTTTTTTTTTTTGTCTTTTGTCTTTTTTCCGTGTCCGGCAACGGATCGCAACCCTCAGTGTTGCCCCCGTACCGGACCAGGGACCGGCAACGGGATTGCAACCCTCGGGGTCGCTCCCGTGCCTCGCTCAGCTAGTGAGCGGGAACCGGTCTGTATGTGGGATCCGAACCCTCGGGCGGGAGCGCCGTCGCACTTCTCAAGCAGCGCACTTATCCAGCGCGCCACCGGGCCGGCCCTGCCAAAGACTTTTCAAACTGCAACTTGCTACATGAGTCACAAGGACAGCTTAGCTGATGATATACAAGAATATTTGCCTGACACTGTCTCCACTAATGAATGGGCCTCAACTTCTTTGACAAACCCGTAACCAACGTTCTCTTTGTTTCAAAACAAATTACGTGTGATTTTCTCTTTTGCCTTTAAAAACCTTTGTCTTTCCTTACCTCCCTGAATACGCAGTTTACTATGGCATGTGCATTCCCACTGCAATGCCCTAGTCCAAATAAACTCTATTTTACATATCTGGCCTCAGTTTCTTCAGAATCTACCACTGTAGTATCATACACAAGAGTTTCACTGCCCTAAAAATCATCTGGGTTTTGCTTGTATTAGAACACTAGAATAATAGAATATTCTTAATATCAGAATGTATTATGTATTCTAATGTAAACATAGTTTGCCCTGGTTAGTTACCTTTTCATCTATTAAAAAAAAATCCTTAGATAACTAAATATTGCTCCTTTGATAATTCAGTTAATACACATCACAAGGTACTGTAACTAATGTCTACCTCACCAGTTTTGAGAGGCAATGACAAATACTGTCTAAGTAAGAGAAATCAAAATATCATTAAATAAGAGAAAACTAAATGAAAATTATCTTCAAATGTTTGTGGCTCTATAATACATCATCAGAATACAGTCTCTCTCTCTCTCTATATATATATGTTTTTTTTTTTTTCTTTTTTTTTTTTTTAAAGATGACCGGTAAGGGGATCTTAACCCTTGACTTGGTGGTGTCAGCACCACGCTCTCCCAAGTGAGCCAACCGGCCATCCCTATATAGGGATCCGAACCCGTGGCATTGTTGTTATCAGCACCACACTCTCCCAAGTGAGCCACGGGCCAGCCCCAAAATAGAGTCAATACTTTAAATCAATTGATGTAAAAACCCCAAATCCTATAAAACATGAGTTTTATTTTAGACGTAATTCCAAAGGTCACATCTATTTATGCTGTGCTTTTTCTTCTTATCCATGGTTAGAAACCATGTCTGGGTTATGTGAAATACTCAATAAGGCTCAAAATGGAAAAAATGGATAAATTTACAGCCATTCCACAATTTACCTTGTTTAGGACAAAGGATTTAAAGAATAGTTAAAGACAATGACAACATATATGCAAACAGGAAAGGTTTATCTGTAATGGGCTAATGCCTAGAATTTAAGCATAAAATCATAAATAAAGGATATCAAAAAATGAAAAGCTCTGAACTTAATTATAATAATAATTTATTATGTCATATACTGTGTTTCTCCATAACATCCCTATAAGGCAGGCATAATCCCTCTCACAAGACATAGATGCTCAGAGGTTCAATGACAAGTCTGAGGTCATATAGCTGGTAAATAATGGAGACATTTTATCCTTTTTATTTTTTTTTTGTCTTTTTTCGTGTCCAGCAACGGATCGCAACCCTCAGTGTCGCGCCCGGACCGGACCGGGACCAGCAACGGGATCGCAACCCTTGGTGTTGCGCCCGCACCTCGCTCAGCCAGTGAGCGGGAACCGGCCTGTACGTGGGATCCGAACCCTCAGCGGGAGCGCCGCCACACTCCCAAGTGGCGCACTGTAGCAGTGTGCCACCGGGCTGGCCCATGGATACATTTTAAATGCATGTCTGGTTCCAAAGTATAAGTTCTTTACAAGATGTACTTTTCTTCTAATTTATAAATGTGTAAACCACACTACTCAATAACATAGTTCACAAAGAAGCTATCATTACTATAGGTCTTTAAAAATGGAATAGTGAAAGGACTTGCTTTCAAATTCTCTTCCTTCAGAGAGAAAAAAATACAAAAGTAGATAGAAACTTGACCTGAGAGTGAGAAAACTAGTGGTAGCAATAATTCCTTGAACTTGTTAAGATAAGTGAACAGATATGATGTTGATGTGGGGGTGGGGGGGAGAAATTGGTAAAGGGACATGAAAATCAACTACATTGTATGTTGATTAAAAACCAATAAGTAAAGTATAACATAGATATGAGTTTAAAAAAAAAAAAAAAAACAGAACTAGTGGTAGCAGCTGATGACCAGCAGGTGTAATAAACTGAAATACCTACAGAGGCCAGGCAAAGAACATAAATATATGAATAGGGACAGGTTATAAGATAATATGGAATTGGAGCCAGCATTCCCAATTTGAACAGATTTAAAGCCTCTTTAAAAACAAAACAAAAAAACAAGTCAACAAAACACCATGCTGACCAAATGAAACACTTGCAGTCCCTACCAGTTTGGTCTTTAAGATTATAGTAGCTATGGAAAGTGAGTAACTGAGAAAGAAAAGGAACCTAGAGTAGGTTTACTGAAATAGAACTTAACTCTGGATCCTTTCAAATGGGAAGTTCATGAACTGTGTGTCTGTTATAGGGTAGGGTACTGGGAGAACACAGAGAAGGAAGCTTAAAAGAGGGAGGAAAGGGAGACGCCTAAGAGACTACAGATGACTTCATATATATGCCTATTTCTATAGATGTTTTAAATGTTTCCATTTCATAAAAATTTAAGGAGAATCCCTTAAACTGGGGCCAGAGACTATCAGTGATGTTATAAGGAAGGCACTAACTACATATTTTCAAGCTTTTACTGAATATAGTTACATGCATTCAGAAGATACAGAGATGAGTCCATTTACTAGAACAAGCATACTTTTTTAGAACAACAGTAAATGTCTCTAGTAAGAAACTATCTTTAATTGTTTAAATAAAACAATGAACAAACTAAGCAAAAATCAATTATAATCTTTTACTATGGAATTTTCTTCTAAATGCTTATTTTCTTTTAACCCCACTATCACAAAAAAATATTTTTTTCAAAATTAAAGTGAAATTTCTATTGGCAAACTGCTGTTTCTCAATAGTTTATTTCCCAACATACAACATTACAAAAAAGAAACCAATATGCTAAAGCGAACCCTTTCTGCTAACCTGGTCTCCTTGAGTTGTGGATTCAAACCTCCCTTCCTTAAGTCCCATGTCTTAACCATGTGTGTTCACCTACGTTGCATATATTTTACATTTTCTCCACATTCAAAAACTGAATTTGATCCACTAAATTATAAAACTTCATGAAACAATATAGTAATTTTCCATATAAATGCTGAGATTTTGAGCAGTTATGAAGCAATTTACGAATGCCATATTTCTCAACTCATGTGCACACTTAAGAGAACTAGAGTCCTACACAATATTTCTTATAAGAAGAAACCAGTGTTTGAGGTTTAAGGACTGGATGATGGTACTTAGCTTGAAAATTAACACATAACTATTTCCAAATTCGTACTATCTTACAAAGCAAAACCCAAACTATAGCAATAGTACCAGCCCCTGAGAAAGCAGTAGAGTTGGAAAAAATACCCAACTAAAACTAATCCAACCACATCTACAACACAAGTAAAATGAAAGCAAATAAATATTTGTTTTCTATAATAACAGCTATTATTTATTGAGTGCTTATTATGAGCCTGATACTATATTAAGCACTTGACTTAACATTATTCTCACTTAAATATTCACAATGACCCCTCAATGTTGAAGCTATTATTATTTTCATTTTATATATAAGGAAACTGAAGATTATGTAGGTTGAATAACTTGACCAAGGTCACACACCATTGAAGCAAAACAGATTTAGAACTCATTATTTCTGAGATTCCAGAATTCAAAGTCTTAATTAACCATAGCAACCTTTATACCATTAGGGCTGAAAAGTATTTTGCTTATTAGCTATCAGGTAAATGCCAGTTAAAACCTTTACTGTACAATGGTACATAAATTAAACGGTGCAAAATTGGTCAAATTTTTTTTGGCATTGTTTATGTAAAAAAATTTATTTATATTTTATTAAAACAAGTCAATACATTTAAAAAGACAAAGATCAGAGAAATAACAAATAACAATAACAATAACAATAACAAAAGGAAATTTAGAAAATTCACAAATGTGTGGACTTTAAACAACATTCTCCTAAATAAACAATGGGTAAAAAGAAAAATCACAGAAAAATTAGAAAGTACTTTGAGATAAAAATCAAAGTGCAATATATCAAAATTTATAGGATGCAGGGATCATGCAGTGCTTTGAGGAAAATTTATACTTGTAAACATCTATATTAAAAATAAGAAAAACCTCAAATCAGTAGTGTAAACTTCTACCTTAAGAAAACAGGAAAAGATAACCAAACTAAACGAAAAGCAAATAAAGATTACAACAGAAATATATAAAACAGGGAATTAAAAAACAATAGAGAAAATCAACAAAACCAAATGTTGATTCTTTAAAAAGATCAATAAAATTTGCAAACCTTTATCTAGACTGACCAAAAAAAAAAAAAAGACCAAAATCACTAAAACCAGAAATAAAGCAGGGGCATTATTACATTGTTATGGTTTTTTGTGATGGTAAGATTTAGTTTCTTTTTCCTGTTTGCATTTTTGTTCTACCAGTGGGTTTTGTTCTTTCTTATGTATTCATGGTAATGATTATCATTTTCTGGATTCCAGATGCAAGACTTCCTTGAGGATTTCTTGTAGGGCTCATCATGTGGTAGTGAACTCTTGCAGTTTTTGTCTGTCTGAAAAATACACTATTTCTCCTTCATTTCTGACGGACCATGGCTGTGGCGGTGGTGGTAGCAGTGGCAGTGGCTGTGGTGGGCCACTGCGTCGAAGTGGCGTTTTTGGCATGCTCTCTTGCCTGCTTCTGGGCTGGGGTGCTGCCCTCGGCTCCTGCCTAGGTGCATGCTCTCTTGCCTGCTTCTGGGCTGGGGTGCTGCCCTCGGCTCCTGCCTAGGTTCCTGGGTGTACTCTCATGCCTGCTTCTGGATGGAGGGGGCTGCCTTTGGCTCCTGCCTGCTTTGGGCAGAGGGGCTGCCCTTGACTCCTGCCTAAGCCAATGAGTGTGCTCTCTTACCTTGGTCAAATAATTTTTAATGAGAGAAAACCTATGTTTTAGTCCGTTTTGTGTTGCTATAACAGAAATACCTGAGACTGGGTAATTTATAAGGAAAAGAGGTTTATTTAGCTTTCGATAATGGGACAGCGGCATCTGGTGTGGGCCTCAGGCTGCTTCTACTCATGGTGAAAAGTGGCAGGCAGCCGGTGAGTACAAGCAGATCACATGGCGAGAGGAAGCAAGAGAGAGAGAGAGAGAAGGTGCCAGGGTCTTTTTAAGCAACGAGCTCTCATGGGAACTAATAGAGCGAGAATTCACTCATTAATCCCCCCTCCCCCAGGGAGAGCATTAATCCATTCATGAGGGATCTGCCCCCATGACTCAATCAGTTTCCAACAATGCCACATTGGAGATCAAATTTCCACATGAGTTTTGGAGGGGACAACACATCCAAACTCTATCAACCTAATATCAAGATCTGTCAAAATCTGCCTGGTTAATATCTCTGGAATCCATGCATTTCCCTCCATTCTCAATACTATCACCTTAGCTTAGATCATCTACATTTCTTAATTCACTACCAGGTTTTGGCTGGTCTCCCTACTTGTAATCCAGTATCCCTGCATTCAACTCTACACAATTCAGGCAAATATATCTTTCTAAAAGGCAGACCTGACAAGCAACTGACATGACTCATGAGAAAATGTTCAAAATTCTTTTTTTTTACCCCTGACTGGTAAGGGGATCGCAACCCCCAGCATGGTGTGGTCCGCACCACGCTCAGCCAGTGAGCACACCAGCCATCCCTATATAGGATCCAAACCCACGGCCTCAGCACTACCAGCGCTGCACTCTCCCGAGTGAGCCACGGGGCTGGCCCAAAATGTTCAAAATTCTTAAAAGGCTAAATAGTTTTTTCATGCCCTGGCTCTTGTCATCTTTTTTTTTTTTTTTTTAACTACTCACCGCACCTTATGCTTCAGCCATACTAAACTACTTAGAGTTTCTCAAAGAAACCAAGCTCCCTTTGCCTCCAGACCTTTCTAACAACGTGCCATCTGCATGAGAACATTTCCATTTTCCCTTCCTCTCCTCACCCCTATTTTCCTTCTCTCTACTGATCCACATCTCACCTTAGGATCACATCTTCCCTCCCTCCTCTGGGAATCTTTCTCTGACTTCTTAAGACTTCAAAATGTCCCATGGCTTTCTATGCTTATCCTCACCATATTCTATGGTCTGAATGTTTGTTTCCTCCTCAAATTCATACATTGAAACTTAATCACCACTGCAATAGTATTAAGAAGTGGGGGACTTTGGGAAGTGATTAGGTCATTAGTTGGTAGTCTCATGAATGGGATTAGTGTTATCATAAAATAGACCCTACAGAGCTAGTTAGCCCTTTCCACCATGTGAAGACACACCTAGAAGGCACCATCTGTGAATCAGAAAGTAGGCCCTCACCAGACACCAAATCTGCCAGCACCTTCATTTTGGACTTCCCAACATCCACAACTGTAAGAAATAGACTTTTGTTGTTTATAAGCTACCCAGTTTATGGTATTTTGTCATAGCAGCCCAAATGGACTAGGACATTATAAATGTCTATCTGTTCCCCCTGTAGACTATAAGTTCTTTGAGGGCAGGGCCTCTCTTTTTAACCTCTGTATCATCCCTCCATCTAGTATGTTGCCTCACTTACAGGTGCTGATTATCTCCACTCTAACACAAAAATAAGTGACAGTAACCTCTTATTTGTATAATGCTTCATAGCTTCCTCACTCTCATTGGACCTTCTCCTAATGTTAGTGCTACAGAAATGTCCACAGTTCAACAACACTGGCACATTACTATACCTGATGCTATTTATTCCACTTGGATTAAGTCAGAAGTAAAATGAAACCTCTCACAGAACTGGCTTTGCTCAATAAGCCAATTAAAAATAAGATGTCCTTTTTAATGTTCTCAAATAATAAATTATAAGGCAAGTCTGTCATTAACATCAGTCTCAAAATCATACTACATTTTTAAAAATCAGGAGTCACTTAAATACACACTTTTTTTTATCTACTTACTCTATTAAGCGCTTTGGGGATGAGCCACTTTGATGGAATTCATCAGCATCATAGAATTCATCTTCACTGCTAGAATAAGAGAACTCTGGGACTGTATTTGGAGACAAGTTGACATGGCTTGGAGAAGTTAGACTGCTACTAGGTGGTGAATGCCCACTGCCTAGGAAGTTAAAAAGTTTTGAATTAGAGGAAAATGTTGGTGATACAGTGGAAAAGATCAGGGAGATGAGTGAAAGCAGACCTTTCTAAAATCAAGGAAGAGTTTGGTTAAGTTGCTAGAAATCTCTATACTATTTGTAAAGGAAATCAACATTTAAACTAGACGAAGAAAAAGGCAAATCATGTTACAGAATGGAGACATAGTCTTTTAAATAAATTTTTTAAAATGATATGTCCCTATTCACTAATTAAATGTTAATTTATTTTTAGTATTAGGAAGGAAGCTATTTTGATTATGTGAGTTTTGGTGTTGGGAGTTCCACCATAGATACCATTACCAATGGGAAGCCTAGGCTCTTATTTTATACTGTATGAAAAATGAAGCAGTGAGACAGTGGGAATGCAAAACGGGAAAAATATCAAGACACTATGAACATTAAAATATTGCTCAGGATATCAGATTCATATCAGTCAATATTTTTCAGCAGTCACATGGAAAATACAAAAACTCTGCACAAAGACCTGAGCACACACCATCCAAATTCCTCACTTCTTTTCCTAAGCCTAGGTGGAGATAAAAACAGAGGGCTACTAGGAGAAGCATGTAAAAAAGGAAAGACTAGGAAGAACATCCTTCTTTCTATTTCTAAACAGTCTAACTAAAAAAATGGAAATTAATGGAGATTCAGAGAAAGAAGACTACTATCTAATCTCTGAGACGATCATCTGGTACACTGTCTAGCAATAAAGTGAGAACAAGAAAGTATCAAATAGACCAATGGAGTATTGAGATCAATTTAATCTATTGCGCATTTAAAGGCTGTCAGCCAATCTACTACAGATGCCTGGTGATGACTAAAGTTAATTAAGTCTCTGCTGGCAATCCAAAAGCCAAGACCATAATTCTGGAAGAAATAGCAGTAATAAAAATGTATCTAGAGCTACCCATGGATTTTTTAGTCCATTCCTGTATCTATGGTTCAACAGTTATGGAAAAGAACAAACCAGTCTGCCACACTTAGTTGCCATGTTCACAACGATTTTTTAAAGACATAACACAAAAATTTGCCTCCTAAAAGGTAATGCTTATTATTGTTGAAATTCCAAAGGTAGCTCACCTTAGCAAATAACTTTAAAGTCTCCTTTTTTCCCCAACAGAAGAAATAAGAGGGGAAAGAAACTTGCTCTTATTGGAATAGGAAAAAATAGAACAAGAATTAGAAACGATTATGTAACATGCAAATACTCCAGGTGAACACACAACTGAAAATGTTTAAGAAAATGAGTTTGAATGGGAATTGCAAACAAAAGAACTGAGACTTCTGTGTGAGAGCAAACAACATTATTTCTTAGTTGTTTCTTATTGATTTTATTCTATTTATTAGTGAGAGAAGTAAAGGAAAGAAAGGTAGAGAAGATAAAAAAAAAGTTAGGATGAAAAATCAAGACATAAACCACACTAATTTAATTTTAAAAATTGCTTTAAATTCACCTACTCTAAAATGTTAGATTTTTTGAATACCTTCTTCTGAAATAATTTTCAGAAGGTAATCTTTATGTTCTGAAATAATTCATACTAAAATTTAATGTATACAAGAAAGAGCCCCTCATTTTGCAAAATTTGTAACTAGTTTTATATATTTCCAAACAGACAAATTTTGGTTGCTGTAAAATTCCAACATAATCTTACCTTATTTTTAAAAAACACATGCACATACATATACGTACTATTTTTTAAATGAATAAGAAGTGACATGATTCATGAACTACAGAAGTCAGCCAAAACATTTCAGCATCATCATTCAAATTGCATTTTCCCAGGAGTTTTAAGTAACAGAGCTATTATTGACATTTTTCTTTCAAAATTCAGAAGACATCTGCTCATGTTGTTAAATATTAAGACAAAAGTAATAGCATCAGTACCTTTACTAACTCGAATTTTAAAATGGGCTAAAATCATATGGTAATTTTTCATTATTACACAGGAAAAGTCCTACCCAGGAAAGAAATCTGCAGAGGAATAGACTGTTGACCTCCCACCTCTTCAAGAGTGGTTGTGGTTTTGGCCTCCAAGGTTTTAACAAGGTCAAAAGCACTAAGTGCTTCCTTGAGTTTGGTTCTAAAGGTAGCTCACATAGATTCAATATCTTTTTAAAAAAAAGAAATAAATCTAATGTCTAACATTGATAGTATCCCTGTAAATTAGAGAAAAATAAAGAAGGTAAGTCTGAATTATGAAAATGGAAATTAAAACAAAGTGGTTTTCCTGCGTATAAAATTGTCAAAAAGGTGAAAGACTGCTAAATGTTTCCTAAAAAAAGTACACATGTGCCAAAGTGCTGTACAAGGATATCACTGAAGTATTGTGCTTATAAACAGGAAAATATCGGAAACAACCTAAATGCCCATCAGTGGAAATTAGGTAATACCTGTCCAGGCAGTTGTAAAAAGAACGCTGTAGACCTAATTACATAAACTCGAAAAGCTACATAAATGTTCTCTATTAAATGAAAAGAGCAAGTCACAGAAACACATGACCTCATTTAGGTTAAAACAAAAACAACATATATACAATAAAGGTGCATATGTACATACATGTATGCAAATGACTGGGGGGAGAGTAAAAAGGACTTTCAGCTTTTGTTCTATCTACTTCTGTATTGTCTGATTCCTTTCTAGTAAGAAAGTGTGCAAGTCTAACTTAAGTAAATTAAAAAAAAAAAATCAATATAGATCCCCCAAATAAATCTTAAGGTAAACAAACAAATAAAACCCTGCAATATTTTATTTGATTTAAATTATAATTACTTACTAAAGCTTCTGGTTCAATCACAGTTAACAACTTCATGTATAGAACTGTAATGATAAAACTAAGATATCTCAACAGAAATAGACATTTCTTCAACCTTTGCCCCATTGTAGTCAAACACAAATTTCAAATGTTAATGGGGAGTTATGAGAAGTAAGAAAATTACACAAATCTGTACCTGTACTATTTGGTGTTGGAGTCTGATGATGTCCCAAGGTAGCTAATACAGGTCCAACTGGTAGGGAAGATGGACGCTGCTCTGACTTACACAACTGAGCAGGTTCTAGGAGATATTGAACATGTGAGATAAGTTAGAGAAACAGCCAAGCACATACTCTGTTGACTGCAATTGTTTGAGATTCAAAATCCTACAGATCAGTAATTTTTGAAACTATATTCCATTAAGTCGAGTTCCAAGCTACTGATCCTTGCTGACCTCCTAGCCTCTTAAACATGCGACAGAATAGTAAGACAACAGGCAAGATGTCAAAACAGCAGTTATGGTAGGCCAATATCCCAGTATAACTGCTCTGTAAAACCAAAAAATGCTTCTGATGATGTGTTTCTGAGCCTCAAACCACATATAATCTGAAATGGGACATATACCTCCTCTTTAGTACCCTGGGAGATACCAAGTTAATTCTTTTAAGGAGTAAAAATTCACAAAAGGATTTCACATACTTATAAATACTTTTAAAAAGGATTTTCCCTTTTATGGTAATTGCTGGCTTCACTATGCCACCACTGAGAAGACAGAAATGTTGAATGCAACAAAAAGGCAAAAGGAATCAGCATAGCTGGGTGTTGGCCCTAAGCCTTCTTTTGCCGGTTTTTTAAAAAATAGTATTTATTGCACTACTTAAAAATACAGACGTTACCTACCAGCAGGCATTATATATTTTATTCTTCCCTTTCTCATTATCTTAAAATCCACCACAAATAAACCATTTATATCGTTCAAAGCTATAAACACCCCAAATAGAAAATTCCTGGACTTTTTAAGTGCAGGAAGATTAAGATATACTAAGTTTTCCTTGATAGCCATAAAATCTGAGTAATGGGATTCTGTTCCATAAGCTAATTCAAGTCTTAGTAACCATGTTTGTCTTCAATCTCACTTTTAAAAACCAAAACCCCTTCTACTTCAAAAGCCCCCATACCAAAAAACACTATCATCTTTTTCCAGTTCATTTTCAGCTGTATTATTTTCTGTGATTCCTTTCATTTATTAAAAACAAACAAAAACAAAAAACAAAAAAACAGAAAGTTAAGATTACTATGACAGCCACACAAATTAAGTTTTTTCTCATCAATAAATCTATGGAACATTTTTCCGAATACTTTACCTGGAGGTAAGACAGTCTGGGAAGGCATTGTGCTGATCACAGGTTCCAAGGGACTAGGTTGATATATTGCATCTACAGGATTAATAGTACTCTGAGATAAAGAAATGCAGTATAGTTATTTTAAATTAAATGCCCTTTTCATGATGACCCTCCCGAATGAATGAAATGCCCACATTTCTTTTTTTTTTTTCCTTTTTGTCTTTTTTTTACTGACCGGTAACGGGATCACAACCCTCGGTGTCGCGCCTGTACCGGGGACCGGCAACAGGATCGCAACCCTTGGTGTTGCGCCCGCACCACGCTCAGCCAGTGAGCGGGAACCGGTCTTCACATGGGACCCGAACCCTCGACGGGAGCACTGCAGCGCTCCCAAGCGGCGCACTCTCCAGTGCGCCACCGGGCCGGCCCGAAATGCCCACATTTCTAACAGCAAAATCCTGAGGGTAACTATGTAGATATGTTGGTCAAAACGCAAAGAAGAAAATAAACCACTTTTTCCACAGAGAAGTGTGTGCGTTTCTTATAACAAAGCATAGTAAGGAAAGAAAATGAATGAATCTGCCATAAAAGAAGGTTAAGCTAAATGGAAAAACTTGGAAGGAGATAAAAACAGAGGGCTACTAGGAGAAGCCCTAGTAGCTTAAAATTGTAAGAACCTCTCAATTCAATTCAGTGCTTCTCGAATTCTTAATTTGCCACAAATATTGTTTCTTTACCTTTGAGAGTTTCTCTATCTCTCCCTTACTTTGGTGTTAATAAACATTACATCTATGGCTAGCTAATGGGCCTACACCATTAGGATCTCATCTTTCCATCCCAAACTACTGCTACCTTTCATGACTGCGTATAGCAAAGTATAGCTGTCTAGTTTTACAGCCACTAAATTCAAAGAGATGCATCTTCCAATTGAAGGGTGTGAGGAAGATGGCTTTCTTTTTGAGAATTTAGAAGGAAAAAAAATATGGTTATAATTTTGGGGGAAAAATAAGTCCAGGTTTCTCTGATTCCAAGCCAAGAAATTACTCTGACAGCATGACAGCATTTTAAAAACAAGACTCCATAGGTTACTAATGTTTTTTGGCTCGGGGGGCTGGGAGCGGGAGTGGGCAGATATTAAATCAAGGTCTTTGCCCGTGTAAAGTTGAGATCCACCATTTAGAGACTAAACTGGACAAACCCAAGAAATAAAAATGTAAGTTATTTACCTTTCCTTGATCTGGAAAACTAATCTTCAAATATATATTAGGTAGAGCTTATAACAGAAAATACTAAAACAGAATTATAAGAGAAATACTTTGCTAATTAATAAGCCCAAAAAGTACTTGCAGAAACTTAAAAGCACCTAACAACGAAAACTAAGACAATGGTAAAGTTTTTGTAGCATTCTCATTTAATATCTAAGTCAAAAAATTTTTAAATACTAAGTAAAACCCTCCTTCTACATAAATATTTAAAAATAACTAAATCAGATCTCTTAAATCAAGTGATTTGAACGCAAGAACTCTAATTCTTGTCACTACACCATAAATATTCTAACTGAAAAAATAAAGGATATTTAGAAGACACTCTGAAAACAATCACTAATAATCAAAAACCTAGTTAAGTGGGAAATATTTTGAAGCACTGAGAAAAGCACAGAAACAAAGACCTGAAATTTTAATTCCTTGGGCTCCTTAAGTCTCCTACCCTCTATGGGCCTTAGTTTCTCAGTATGTAAAATGAAGAAGAGCTTGGATTATATGGTCTCTGATTGCCTTCTGGTTATTACTTTGACTCTATTTTCAGATACTGAAGCAAGCCATAACTAAATAAGTGTCTCAACAAGTCCTGTAGCTGTTCTAAAAATAAATTCCTGTTTACATAGTGCTTTTCTCCAAAGGACTCCAAGTGATTTACAAAGGCAAAATCCCACCATTATTTTTTGATCCATAGGAATAAGAATATATCACCTCCTTAACCCTTTCCATTGAAGAGACCAAAAAATAAAATAACTTCAGGACAAGGGACAAGAATTTTATCTTTTAGATGTAATCTTTTGTTTTCCAGATGAAATGTTCTAAGATTAGGGTTGTTAACCAAAGAAAACAGTTTTAGACTTTTTTGCATTGTTAAAAATTACGGGAGGCTATTGTTTTGAACTGAGCTCCTGCACTAGGCCCCAACAGACCAGACCAAACCTAAATGAAGTCTTTCATGCTAAATGCCACATAATCAAACTGAAACTCTAAGGAAGCAAGGAGGTCCCAAAGTAGAACATTTTTTCCCTGAAAACAGGAGATTCCAGTCTACCTGGGTCAGAGTAACAAGGAAGTCCTCTCTGCTTTAACCCTCATAAGAAAAGTAACCTGATGTAAACCAATCAGCCGGAGGTCCCAAAGTAGAACATTTTTTCCCTGAAAACAGGAGATTCCAGTCTACCTGGGTCAGCGTAACAAGGAAGTCCTCTCTGCTTTAACCCTCATAAGAAAAGTAACCTGATGTAAACCAATCAGCTTTTTTTCTACTGTTCTGTTTCCTTGTTCCCACCTTATAAAACCCACTGTTATGCCATTGCCTAGTGGGAGCTCTCATTCTATTTTATAGAATGGAGGCTGGCCCAATTCATGAATTGCAAATAAATGTTAATTAGATCTATAATTAAATTTGTTGTAATTTTGTCTTTTGACAGCATGTATATTCAAAGTATTCAATCTTTTGTTGCTGTTGTTGATAGAAAAAAAGAACTATTTTACACTTATCTACAGTCCTTGGTCAATCAACTTCAGGCTAAAATATGTCAAATTACATTCTACACCTTACTTTAAAAATGAACGTGCAGAGCTTGAGAAGCGCAAACAAATAAGAGTCAGCCCTAATCTGTTGCGACATCAATGAAAATCATGCAATATATAATAAATTACATATAAGTATAATTAGCTATACATATGTATAGCTAAACTTATTGAGTATTATTAAACTTACTGAGCATTATCTGTACCTTACAAAAAGCATATTTTTTTTTGGCGGCTGGCCTGTATGGGGATCTGAACCCTTAACCTTGGTGTTATTGGCACCACACACTAACAACTGAGCTAACCAGCCAGTTACAACAACCTTCTGAGGTAGAAACCTTTCAGCTTTCTTTATAGATAAGGAGATTAGGACTCAGAAAGATTAAGTAACTTGCCCAAGGTCATAAATGGTGGCAGGGCAGTTATTTAAACCCAGGCAGTCTGGCTCCTATACCATGAAGAGTTTCTTTCTTTCTTCAAAAAAAAAAAAAAAACTGTTAAGGAAAAATGCCACAGTCCCTGAGCAAATGATTCAAATACATTTGTTTTCTATAAGTTTAAATTTTCTGAGTATAAATATTCTAGATGTTTTTAATTGCAAATGATCAAACCTTTTTGGTATGCTTTATAAAACGATGTCTATTAACATTAAAATAAGTAATTTGGCTATGAGGGGAAAAAAGATAAATATTACTGCCAACCTAATTCTCCTTACGAGTCTCTGGGGATCATGAAATGCTGGGTAACACATAAAATCATTTCCCATGAGCCTCACAATCTTTAGTGATATCTCAGGAAGAGGTATTATACTATATTGCATTTGTACCATATAATTGTATTTTATCACCATGGCTCACATATTGAACAAAGAAATAAAAATTCCAATGTATTTAATTCAAATTTCAAGCATGTTTTCTTTTATAACTGCTTTCTTGAGAAATTTTAAACATAGATATTTAACAACTTTTTTTTCATTTTAAACCAAATATAAAGATAACATGTTCATCTTTTCAAGTATAATCATGTTTTTGACAATTTACAAAATGTGTTTCCAGATCTCAGACAAGCTGGCATTTGCAAAGTCCAGGACCAAAAAAAGAGGCTGCCTCCTGTTCAGAAATACAGCCTGAACAGAAGTCACTCAGTTAACATAAAAGTAGAGTAGCACAAACTACAAACCTTCAAACTCTAATTTTTATTTCCAGATGGGAAATACAATAAATTTTTCTTCTTTCTTTTTAGAGGGGAAGTTGCATATAAGGGAAGGGTAAAAGCCAAGGGAAAGGAAAGAATAGGCAAATGACTATAAGGGAAAGAATTAATGTTGTAATTTGTTCCAACAAAAATGCAGTGTATACCACAGTAACAATGATAGTTAACCCAATACACAAAATCTAAAATAAAAGAAAATAGGAACCTACAAACATTTAAACAGATTAAGATGTTTCAATATTGTACCCCTCCCCGATTGCATCTGAGAAAAAAAGAAGTTTGATAAGAAATGCAGCACTGAGTTATACCTTATTTAATAGTAAAAGCTGAGTTTTCATACCATGATTAGCCCAAATTAACACATGCAGAGTGATTCAATATGAACACTTAGAAAAATTTGAAGACTGTCATTTCCCCTCCAAATGATTGCTTGAAAGATGGATTTTAGGAGCTCAAGGAAAATTGCAAGAGTCAACAACAAAAAGCAGAGAGCAGGTGAAAAGAGAAATATGCGTTGAAAATGAGTAGAAATTCAGGTTTCTCCTGACATGACTGGTTAAAATGCTCTGCAGAAGTAAAGGGAAACAAAAAGATTAGATTAAACTTACTATAATTCCATCTGCGTGCTTCTCCGCATTACTCTGGTCCTTAAGGAAAAATGTTAAAAATATTAACTTCATTCTTGCATTTAAGTAACTCCTTGTGTACTTTTCCTACTAAGAAAGCTAATTTTACTAGGTAAGTAATAATGTTAGAACACTATTTCTCTGCTTCTACTAAGATATTAATTCCATTTGTAGATTCCTTGCAAAACATAATTCTAACATGACTGCACAACAATCAACACCAAGAGCATGGCAATTATTTTCCTATACGGGAAAATAATTTGATTAAGTTCATTGTGGAAATATCCTATTGAACTATAGCCAGATTAATATCAACAATTAAATGCAGATATACTGATTTAGGATTGAAGACCCTTGATATTTCTAAGTTTAAATTTTATAGTAAATTATGCCAACTCCCCACATTTCCCAAACCTTTACTATACTTTAAAGGTATGAAAATCACATACCCTTAAAAACTCAGGATAGACACAATGTCACATATTCTGACTGCCTGCCCCAGAATTATAATATTTTTCTAGACAGAAACTGATTTTTGTTTCAGTAAACACAATCACTGTATCCATGGAATGATGATACTGGTGCTAAGGGGCAGGTATTTTACATGTATTTATTTCACCAACAACCCCATAACGTTAAGTACTATTATTAATCCCACTGGACAGATGAGAAAACAAAGAGGGGGTGTTGAGCCAGGATTCCAAAACAGGCAGTCTAGTTCCAGATTTAGGCTCTTAACTAATACGCTATTTTGTCTTGTCGGTCCAAGGACACAGTTGCAGAATGAGGAAGGAAGTGGTGTAAAAATGCCAACACACATTCATTCCTGGTAACTATATGTGAAAGGAACATAAGAGCTCACTTGTGTCTCCTGGGACTCTAACCCTCCTCTTTCCCACTCTTCCCCGACAGGCACTGTGACCAACATGGGTGCATTAAGTGAGGAAATGCTGTCTTTTAGGACTGTCTCATCCTCAAGGAGGGAAGACTATTTCTGGGATGAGTACCACACCTGAAATAATCATCAGAGATTTGGGGAGAAAGTATGTACTGAGAGAAACTTGAGGAAGACAAAAATGTTTTATAATATTCAAAGTCAGAATTATATAGTATGATCAGTGTATTTTTAGAATACTACAACCTAAGAAAACTACCTTTTTTGGATTTCCTCATGTTCACTGAGCAAAATGGTTCATGTAAAATGGTAACTACCACCTCAGGACTGTTATGGGGATTAAATGAGAAATGTGGGAAAGTGCTTTTTAAATGAGAAAGCACTCGGTAAAATCTAGTTATTAATAATAAAAGGCAAATTAATATAATCTTTGCTTCATCCAACTATATAATAACATATACGTAGTTTTAAAATAAAGACATCAGATAGAACAAGAAATGTAATATCATAAATAGCTGTATCCTGTGCTTTTTCTACTAGAAACTTTGGAGAAATTTAAAAAAATGAAGCAAAGAGAAACCAGGTATACAAGTGCTGTAATGGATGTCACTGATTCCCACTACCTTTTTTTTTTTTTTTTTTTTTT